ATCAACATTTAAAAAATTTCACTATAAAAATCAATAATTGTAGTGAAACAGACAGTAATTATTAGAGTTTTATCCAAATTTAATATATCTCAAATTAATTATAGAAAATATGAAATTTAATTTGATTGCAAGTAGGGATTTCATTCTATTTTATATTGATCGAGAATAAGAAATATAGTTTAAGTAGATTTATTTTGTAATCATATAACTATACCTATATAAATAGATACTAGAGTGAGATTAGATAAAAAGTTGTTCGTGTTACTATACCAATGAGAATAAATTTTTTCTGCATGTAATATTTTTTTAGAAAATTTATCACGTAATAACTTGATATCTAGGAGCCAATATCTTTTTCTCTCTCTCCTTTTTCTTTTCTTTACAACTTGTGTAAATTTCTTTATATCAAATCAATTTTTTATTCTTTGATTTTATTTAGTTGTGGCGACATTGATTTTGATGTTTGTTGTCGACCATCGATTGCCTTTTCTTTTTATTTTTTAGCTTTTTATCTTTTCTTTTTGTTTTTTAGCTTTTCTTTATGACATTGATTTTTATGCTTGTTGTGGCAGACTAACAGTATCTTTAATGGCTTTTAAGATTGCTTCAGTTGGCTTAGCACAGTTCTGGAATACCCGCTTGTTTCTCTCTTCCCAAATCATGTATACAATAGCGTTGAGAGCAAGTTTCATGACCAAAGTTTGTAAAGATTTGCCTTTCCACAGAGAGCTAGCCCGAGCCATGAAAACCTCCCAAGAACAGTTCTGGAATTGCAAACAAGATAGTGAAAACACACCTTTCCAAATGGCGTCAGTAGTAGAACATTTGAGGAAAAGACGCTCTCTTGTTTCCTGTTCAGAATTGCAGAGCACACATTGAGATTCGCTGATGAGTCCAATTCGCAGCAGTCGATCTTTAGTTGGGAGCTTGTCAAGGAAAGCCATCCAAGAAATGAGGCCGTGCTTGGGAATGTGCATGGGAAACCATATCAGATTCTGCCATGGTACTTTATCTTTCTTTTCTCATATTGAATCCCAAATTTGACTGGTTTTACTTGCAGCTGGAGTAAGAACTTGAAGTGCTTCGGTTCTGAGTTGGAGGAGTTTCTTAAGGCTCCAACTTGCAGAGCACGTTTTTCAACGTCTTTTGGTTGTGACACATTTTTCAATGTCTTTTGGTTGTGACATGTTTTTCTATATATATATTTTTATAATTTTCGCTTGTTTGACCGTTGTTGGATTTGATATCGCTACGGCTGATCAAGATGATACTTATTTGTTATAATGATGATCTTCTCTGCTTTAGACCCTCGGATTGATTTGGATACACGTTTTGTGTTCATGAATAATTTTCTCACGTCCCTTGACTCTTATTTATAATTTATCGGTGGTCTTCAGTAGCTTCGTTCCCTTTTGTGGTTTGTTGTCAATGAAGTTAGATTTGTTCGTATCTTTATCCTTTTCCTTTATTTGTCCTTGTGTGATCTAGGTAGCTAATTTTTGTGTTAATGGTCATAGGAAAATGTTCTAAATATAATTTAGTTTACATTTACAATTATTGTTGTAAATCTTTATTCTAATTCTGAATATTTTATATTTTTAATAAAACCAGTTACTTTCTTAAAAAAATACTAAATAATAACTCAAATCACATTTAATCAATTAAATATTTAATTTTGAGATAGGTTTAAACTCAAATAGAAGTAATAACATTATATTGTATACGAATATTAATTAAATTTATATAGATTGCTATAAAATTTAAGACAAAAAGATTAATATTTTATAGAGTTAACTATCACTTATGTTTATGTTTTGTTTACTTTTCCTCATTGATTTTAAAAAATAATATATGGTCAATTTGTTTTAATTTAATTTATATGTGATCACTATCAGTTAAGTATTTTGGTATGATCACACACTTAGTTATTGTTATTTACATATTCTATCAATTTAGTCATATTTTTAATAAATTAAAATTAATGTAATCTTCCACTCAAATTAAAGCTAAAAGAATTTGAACCTAAACACTTGAGAAACCAAGCATATACCCAAGTCAAGACCAATGTTTGGTTTAAAATAGACAACATGATATATATAAATACTTAACTTAAATTCATAATATTTTATATATATGGGCTTTAAAAATATTTTTTATATTAACTTATTAAATATATTTTATTATTAAATTAATTTAAAAATATTTTATTTTATTGTATTTTAAAAATATATATTTTATGTTAAAATAGTTTGAAGTTAAGATAAGAATAAAATATATTTAATAATTTAAACTAATAAAATAATATATTAAGTAAATTATGATAAAAATATATACTTTGAAAAGTTAAAATAATAATAAAATGTATTTTTAAAAGTTTAGATTAAAATAAAATATATATTTTTAAATAAAAATAAACTATTTTTAAATTAAGGTAATAATAAAATAGATTTAATAAGTTAATGTAAAAACTATTTTCTAAAGTTAATATATATATTAAAAGTATAATTACATTGAGACAATATGTAAAAGTAGGATTAAATTTATTTTAATTTAATAAAAATAAGAATTTGAACACAAAACATATTTTCTGGGTAAGTAGTACCAATATTGTATGAACATTATCGATATTATTCTTAAGGTATCAATACCACAATTAAGAGAAGTATCTATACTCTACTGGTAGTATTGGTACCATGAAACCCTAATATCGATATTGGTGATCCCAAATGTTTTTAACAATTAGTTTATTTAAATATTACAAAAGCAGTATCGATACTCCTAGTTCGAGTATCGATATTCTACGTCCTGAGCAGTTTTGTTTTGTAGAAAATTTATCTTCAATGACTTCAAAACATTCCTAAAGGCTAAAAATGCTACAAATTCATTCCAATATATAAAAACAAGTTTAGGGTACTCAAAGAATGTTACAACACCTATCTAAGCAATCAAGATCAAGAGAAAATTTTTTTCACTCTTTATTCTTTCTTTTCTCTTGTACATAGTATTTTTGTAAGCTCAAATTGTAAACACCTACATTTGAGAAGTTTTTCTTGTTTAAATTTTTTACTTTTTGTAAAAGGGGTGATTATAGTTTATCCATTGAAAATTAGAAAATTTGTAAATGTTACTCTTGAGTCTAGAAAATAAAAATAGTGAATTTGTTGTAAATTCATTAGTGTGGAGCTAAGGTAGTGGATATAAATTTAGTTTAGAAGTCGAACCACTATAAATCATTGTGTCATTTTTTCTATCTTTTCTCCTCAATTCTCAATTTTTAAAAAACCAATTCACCTCCTCTTGGCAGTTTTCGGTTGATCGATCGAGCCAAACAAAAACTACTTCAGATGGTATTGAACTTTACACGTTGATTCTTTTATATCACTTAACTTCCAATTTTATCAATTATAATATTGAACTTTAATTTTACATTCAATTATGCCACTTCGTCATTAAGTCACTAACGAGATGATTACATGACTAACGATTGTTGTCGTACTAAAACGAAGTCGTTTCGTTGCTATTGTTCTGATGTTTGAAATGACATCGTTTTAGACACTGAACTAATTTTATGGGTGTATCGATTTTGTCACTTAACTTTTAAATACTTTTGTTTTGGCACTGTACTTTCTAGCCGCCATCAACAACCAATCTTTGTGACAAAATCGATACCAAAATATTCGTATTTCACTCCTCATGATTCTCATATGATTAGTTTCCTAAGAAACTCACTCAAAATTGATGAAATTAGACAAAATAATTTATATAGTTTTTAGATGTTTGGAGACTTTCTTAGATTTATGAGATTTGTGGTGTTTGTTTGAAAATCTGAACGGTGAAAAGTATTATTTTGAGAAGACGAACAACGTACATCGAAACTAATTTTAACCAATCCTAGGATAATAAACGTGAATGAAATACAAACATTTTGATATCAAATTTACCTCGAAATATGACCGAGGACGGTCGGTGCTTGGTTGCCGGAAAGTGTAGTGCTAAAAAAGAAAAATGTTTAAAATGTGAGTGACAAAATCGATATACCCCTAAAGTTATGTGTCTACAATAATGTCGTTTTATGTATCTGAACAGACGCACTTAAACGATGTCATTTTGGTGTGGCTGACCACGTCAGCTACCGTTAGTCATGTCATCGTCTCGTTATTGGCTTAACGAATGAGTGATATAACTGAATGTAAAACTAAAATTTAATGTTATAGTTGACAAAATTAAAAGTTTAATTGTATAAACGAATCAACAGACAAAATTCAATGGTCTAAAGTAATTTTCCCCTTTAAATAAAATTAATCTAGCAGGCTCGTATTATATGCATGCAGGGTAATTAAATCGAACTCTAAAAACAACACGTTGAAACATGAAACATTATAAATAAGGAAAAGGGGGTAATTAAACAAAGTTGCAGATCTAAGCCCAGGTTTGTCATATTCTGTTTCTATCTCGTAATTTCCTCTCTTGTGCTCATCATTTCTTTTTAATGATTCGTGCTTATTTTAAGTTAAACATCAAATCGAAATTTCTCTTTTTTTTTAGGGTTGTAACGTGTAAATTAAGATTCATAATTTTATTCTAAACAGCGCTAATTCGATTTTGTTTATAATATCCTTAAAAAAAGGCTAGAGTTACGTTGGTTTAAACAGCAGCATTGTTATAATGTAGCAGCCTTTAATGCAAAAACAATAGTAGTGTATGATTAACATTATCATATTTAAATTCTAAATTGAAGTTCTTAAAAAGAGTATAATTGCTCCTTTCTTAAATGTTGTTCATTACAATTCCTTGTTTGCAGCTTTCCGTATTGTTAAGAAGCATTTGATGGTACAGAGAGTTGCTAGAGAGTCCTCTTCTTTTACGTGTGGTTTCTTTTGTTCTCTGATGGTTTACTTGGGAGTGAAAACAAAGGAGAGAAGAAAGTATTGGGATATTTGATTATTTGTGTTTCAACATCATGGGTGGTCAAGTGGTTTGAATAATAGAGAAATGAAGAAATAAATACATGAAAAAGTAGACGACGACAAGCAAAAAGGTTACCAGATGCAGTGCCGGCCCCGGGTAAATTACAGCCGGTGGTCATGTTGGATACTACCCACGAGATTGCAATTTACATCCATAGGTTTCATAACCTTGATCTTTTCCAGCAAGGGTATGGTGGAATTCTTGTGTTTTCCTGTTGGTTTTGGATCCTGCACACCGTCATTCATATGTTCATTTGAGTGTTTAGATGGTATCGACTCAAGATTACAGTCAGATGGGACAATGAAGCATCTACTTCTCTCGCTACGCCTTCCAGAGTCTTACAATATGATGGTAAGTTGTTGAAATAATAGTGTTTTTTTCTTCTAAAACATTTGTCTTAGGTTATAAATTTGCTATTTGTTGTTGTTTATATTATAAACATTTGAAATGTTGATACATTCTAGTGTTTTGTATTGAAACTGGTCCCTCTAGAGACCTAAACAGGGACCTTGCAATTTACGAAAGAATTTTCCATGCTAAATTCTGATTCAGATTCAGCGGAAGCAAACAAATTTAATTTCCTTTGATACTTAAATTATGACCAATCATTGATTTTCATCTTTGTTTAATGGTGAATATATTTGGAACTTTATGTTGGTTTCTCCTACTTGTTTTAAAGTTTGTTTATGCTCTCAATGTATAATGTAATAAGTTTTCTCAACCAGCATTTCCCCCTAATTAAGACTAGAAAAACATTGCAGCTCCAAACTTGGGTTGTGAGGCTGGTGGATATGGAGTATGGAAGATCGATGAAAAAGATAACAGTTTTGCAACGCAGCCTTTTCGAGTCAAATATGCAAGACAGGATGTTCTTTTATTTACCATAGTTGCATTTGATTTACCTCTTAAGGAAAAAGAGGTAGGCAATCTCTCCTTGCTCATATCCACATGCGCAAACATCACACTCCCTTTAGCCGGAGAGTAGAGCACATAAATTGCAGAACATACTCTATAGACCTTCATTATGTTGACTTATAGTAGTCTGTGATAGGCTTTGATTCTTAGCTTTATGGTTAAGAAAAATTTTGGTAGATTTGAACTAACTTGAATCAAGAAGGATGCACAGAAGTGTTTGTTGATAATCAAGCTGAAATTTCATCTCTAACATTCCTGTTTTTCATGGAAAAACCAAACACTTCAATATCAAATTACTTTTTCTTAAAGAAATGCAAAAGGAGGGGTTAATTGGTCTAAAGTACTGCAAATCTAAGCTTCAACTAGCTGATATATTCAGAAAGCCTCTTCCAAGAAGCAAGTTTGAATTTCTTAAAAGAATGAAGGGAAGAAAATACATACATTTTATTGAAGTTGAAATGTTGTATAAAATAACAACCTCATCCTAAAATCAAGCAACAACCAGATTTATACTAAACAAACTTCTAAAATTTAAAATCATAAGGTAATTAAATTTTGAAAAAAGAAAAAGAAAAATACAGTAAGATTGTTTTGACTAAAACTTGCAGCATCTGAAGCACAACTTCGACACTCCTCCTTAGTTTAGTTGTTGGAAACTCCAAGTTTCTCTTTTAAGAAATTCAAACTTGCTTCTTGTAAGAGGCTTTCTGAATATATCAGCTAGTTGAAGCTTAGATTTGCAGTACTTTAGACCAACTGACGCCAGACAGAATAGTGATTATCCTGCAAGCGCTCCAACAGATGATTCACAAGAGAAAATTCGCCCAAAAAAATCCAGAGAAAAAAAGTCTCTAGGGTTTAATAAAATATTATCAAATCAAACAATCCCAAAATCAGTCCACAAGCCGAACTGTTATAGCCAAAAATCGTCTTTATTCGAATTTTACCAAAAATAGCAAAATCCCGAAAATCACTCTAAATTGAAATTCGAAATAAAATAAGCAATCTCCAAAAAATCCAACCTAAATCGGATTTAAATTGACTTCCTAATTGACAATCGAAATATTACCATAAATAGTAAAAAATATCTAATTCTAGTGATTCGGAGGGGAAAACGGCAGAATTTGATGTTGAAAAAAAGGCCACATGGAGCGTAGCTCATGTGGAGAGCGTGCGCGTCGAAAAGAGCTTTCCGGATTGGGGTCTTATGCGCGATTCTGACACCTGTAGCCAAAGTTATGGCCAAAAGACTGAAACATACTCAAAACGACCCCAATGAAGAACATGTCACAATCAATTCCCGCCTTTGCGCTGATCTGCCAATTCATGGTATCTCAGCGCCATCAAGGTGCAATCTGACAGCTCAACATCATCTGTCTCGGATCCCCCTGCATCACCAACTAATTCCTCCTTTTGCATTTTTTTAAGAAAAAGTAATTTGATATTGAAGTGTTTGGTTTTTCCATGGAAAACAGGAATGTTAGAGATGAAATTTCAGCTTGTTATAGATGCACTTGTTCAAGAATATGGAGTAAGAGATTCTGAATCAAGAGAGGATGTTGATGCTTCAACTTGCCAAACATTTGTTGCTACTGTCTCTACCATTACAATGAACAAAGTAGTTAGTAAGAAAAGGTCTCAGAGTGATGATGGGTCATCCGATCTTGTTGAGGAGATAAGTAAGTTTGGTGTTGCATATTGTGAAACTGCACGAAACATTAAGGACATTACTGCATTATTCAAAAGGAAGGCGGAAGGTAATTATCGAAGAATGTCAATTTTCATAGAAATCATGAAAATTGAAGGCCTCTTTAATGATGAAATGCTTTTTGCATGAGAGTATATCAGCAAAGATGCACACAAGGTAGATTTATTCTTTTCTTTGTGAAAAAAATTCAAAAAAAATTATGTGATTAAGCAATTACTTGAATATCATAAGTATCAACCATCCTTTTGACTTTGGTTATTCTATAGATGTGTAGATCACTTTTTTGGTTTTGGCTTTAGAATATACTGTCAACTTTTTTTTTGTCTAACTTCACTAAGTATATGTTAAGCTATTTTTGACATAAATTTTTGTGTGTGTATGTAATATAGTTAACATATATGCTTAAGTTTATAATGTCATGACTATTATATTTTTTAGGTTGGAAATAGTTGTTTTTTTATGGTTAATTGTAAGCTAAACAAACATTGTAAGCTTATAAATTACATGGGTGAAGATTTTATGTAACATGGATAGTTCATGTGTTTAGACAATTCTCATTCAAATATTTGATGCATATTTTATGTCGAGTGTCTATAGATTTCAATAAAATATAGAGTGTGAATGTACAGAAGTTATGGTATCTTTATTTTGTTTTAGCATGCTATCTTTACTTTTTCAGACATATTATATTTTTTTATTTTGTTATCAACAACAGTGATAACATTCTTAACTTACCACCACAATAATGTAAGATTCTTAATAATATGTCAGATAATGTTATATTTTCGTAATCTTATTCTCATAAGTAATGCTACATTCCATAAACCAAAGGGCTCCTAAAAAATCCTTAATTTACCACCATTTCAATCCTCAATTTGATTTGTGACATTTTACCTTTCAATGAAACTACTAACTAATGATGACTCAGTTTTACGAAGACTCGACAAAAGGTGGTTTAAAATTAAATCATCCAGTTTAGTATTTTTTTTATATTCATATTATCAATCCAACCTTTTCAGAGTCTATGCTAAACTCTAATTCATCATTAATCAATAATGAGTAAAACTAAAAATTTATTATAGCAGGGTTAAAATATTTTTTATTTTTTATAAACACATTTTTAATTGAAGGAGAACGAGTAAATTTTTCTTTATTTATATTTTAAAAATATATATATATATATTTCATATTAATTAATATTTAAAATAATAATTTATGGGGGCTAAGGCTCCCCTTGACCTCATGATGTTTCGCCACTGCTAGCAGTTCTATGGGAATGTAAGGTGCTATAGATCAAAATGAGAATCGAAGCTATTGTAAGTTAGGGTCTCTTAGGGATTGAGTCCTCTTGGAAGAGGAGAGTTAAAAGAACGATCAAAATGATTGTCACGCGTGGTTAAATAATGTCAAACCATCGGTTTAAACATCACAGCAGTAATTCGTTATCTCACTAATGGTTGTAAACGGTTGAGTGGCCAATCTGTTATACATCGATAACATTAATATCAAATTGTTAATTTTAAAACATTGTTGAAAGAAAGAGACTTACTCAAACATCAGTACCATTAAATTACCTATTAAATAAAGTGATTGAAAATTTGGGTATGAGTCTAGAATTTAAAACATTTGGGCCTTTGAAAGGCTTAGTTTATATATAAAATAAATTAAAAGTTATCTTAAAGGGCTGAATTGCTTAATTTTATTGACGCTCAAATGTTGAAAAAAATAATGTTATTAGTTAATTAAATATTAATTTAATTAAAAAAATATTAAATTAATCCTATTTTAAAATACAACTAACATCATAATAACATTTTTTTATATTTTTAATTAATTTTTAAATAAATAATTGTTGAGAGAATATTAAAAATATATATATTTTTTCTTTCATTCAAGTCATGGAGTGATGAAAATTAATATGATACAACATAGATTGAATAGAAATTTAAATAAAATGAAATATTTTCTTTAAAAAGTTCTCCAATCATTATTTTTTGACTGAGTGGTGATATAAAACCAGTTTAAAGTTTCACATAAAATCAAATAGAAAAATCCAGTAAATGAGTAATTTAATTTTGATTTTCTGATGTGTTTTGGTAATACAAATGTCTAATAAAGTTGAAGTTTGGAGTAATTTTCTTCCGTTCTATTGGTTTTAGACAGTCCAGGTAGTTTTGAGTTTAGGCTGAGATGATTTGATTTGATTGACAGTGAAGGGCGTTTTGTGAGCCTGATGTTGATCACATAATTGTACTTAAGCAGAAGACATCCCATCCCTGTCCTCCTTTATCCATTATGGCCATGCTTTTTTGGAAAGGCCAACCTTGCTTTTTAATTCACCTGTCGTTTTGGTTACATATTACATTTCTCGCCCCTGAATCTCATTCTTTCCATGGAGACCCCACAAACCCAATGGTCGTTTTTAAAATTCATGCACACTTTGATTTTGCATTCATTCATGCTCACAATTACCTTTTAAGAAACGAAGGCTTGAAAACTTTGAAAGAGAAATGAAGGCATATGCTTTCCTTATATGTCTCTATGCCTGTAAATGAACCGAACGCACACGAATGGAGGTATGTTCATGTTCGTTCATTTAATAAATAAACAAACATAAACGAACACGAACAAAAACGAACAAATTTTTTTTTTGTTCATGTTCGTTTATTAAGGAATATAACTTGTTCATGTTCGTTCATTTAATAAATAAACGAATATAAACGAACACGAATATAAACGAACACAAACATAAATGAACACGAACATAAACGCTGGAGACCCTACCTTCCATTGTTCTTTTATGAAAAATAGTCGACAATGCAAATCAACTAAATCTACAGTGATAAATAGCGTAAGAGCTGATTAGCAGTGATGAAATGTTTGAAGATATCAAATATTTCGATCGATCTTTTAAAGATATTAAATGATTCACACGACTTTAATTTAACGATATAACATTTATCTTAGTGGTCCATGATTACATATGAACAATCATTTTCCATTACGTTATTCTAATAAATTTATCGGCTAAAAGTTTTGTGACATCAATGTCAGACTTTAGTGAGGTTTGTTAATAATGGTCATTTCCGTTGGAAGAGTAGAAAATTTAACAGCATGAAGATTTCGAACGGTACAAATTGGACTACAAGGCAATAACATAGATCTGAAATCCCTTCGATGCTACATATCGTAACTGATATTATTGCTAAACCACCATTCAAAATTTTAACGTACCTAAAGTCTACTCCACAACTAAATGTCACACAAGAACTATGAAAACAAAAGTTCATTGTCAAAGTGTATTTTCTACTTATTAATGGGTTCTTCCTGAAAAACTCATTACTTCCGCTATTACACTCTTTTGCAGAAATTACATAGAAACCTTTGTTTTGTTTTCTGGAAAATTCTATATATTTTTCTCTTTACTGATGCTCATATACTTCCGATTGTCACCTTTATCTTCCCATCTATTTCTAGAAAGAAGTATAATGTTTTCTTGAGTTTTAGATGTGAAGATACCAGTAATAACTTTACATATCAACTATTAAGTCAAATAAAACAGAGAAAGAGATGAAAGCATATCTGTAAAACTTCAGGTTGCACTATAATATAACTTGTTTTGAAGCTTTCAGCGATCGTCTCCACTCTCTAGTGAACACTAGGGTTTGGGAAAAAATGGGGGAAATGAATATAGGTGTGAGGTTCCTCACGGGTTAACATATTGGATTTAATCTTCGAATAAAATTGGGTTAATTATGGAATTGGTCATCAGAATATCAGATTAATTAATATTTTTAAGATACTTACAAATTGGTCACCAAAATTGATTTAAGAAGATTGGGTTAAACATAAATGAATGAACATAAGCGAACATAACCGAACGAATATAAACGAACATAACCGAACGAACATAACCGAACGTTCACGAACGTAAATGAACGAACGAGACCTATGTTCATGTTCGTTCATTTAATTAAACGAACACAAAATCTTGTTCATGTTCGTTCATTTAATAAATAAACACACATAAACAAACTTCCCGCCGCACAGTTCATGAACGGTTCGTTGAACGTTCAATTCATTTACAGGCCTATCTGTCTCTAACTTGTATGCGGAGACAATTGAAGCGAGTCAAGCTAATTCATCTACTCTTAATGGATAGCTTTGCATGGAGTGGACCTCACCGTGGGAATCATGTCATCAATTTTATATTTAGAACAGGTACTATTCCCTCTATGGTGCTACAATGAAAGCCTCTTAAGAATCATTCTCATGGAAAAAATAAAAACCAAAAGAGAGGCTATTAAAAGCTATATACGCAATGATGTCATCCAGAGCCTATGCGTGATCATAAAGCAGTAATAGTGATTAAGTCATTACAAGAGTAAAACCAAAAGAAAACAAACCAAAAAAAAGAGATTAAGTTGTAACATTTAGGGTCTGCTATGCTTCATCATTTACCACTGATCACTGATCACGCTTCTGCTTGGTTCTTTACCTTGGTGAGATTTGATGCTTCTTTGGTCTTATTGTTTGACACGTTGCAAGAGTGGAACCTGCAAGGGTCAGCCTGGATCAACAGTTGAACAACCTCATTCATGGGTGGGCGCTGGGATGGATTCTTGTACGTACAACGCATCGCAATTCTGAGCACCTCAATTATCTCGTCCCTGAATGACATCGACAACCGTTTGTCCAACACCTTCATCACCCCCTCCTTCGTATCCAGCTTTGTTGAAATCCAATACACAATGTTCTTGTTCTCCCCAAACTCTGCCTCCACTGGTTTCTTCCCGGTTATTAGCTCCATCAACACCACTCCAAAACTGTACACGTCACTCTTGGTCGTTGCTTTGCTTGAATATGCATATTCTGTCAAACCCATCTCAATTGATCTTAGTTAATTTTAAACATTAAACGACAAAGACTGCATTTACAAGATGCACATGAATTTACCTGGGGCTAAGTAACCATAGGTGCCTGCTACGACAGTTGTGGTACAATCTTTGCCTCCTCTAGCTTGTAAAACCTTGGCTATTCCGAAATCTGCGACTTTCGGTTCATAATTGGCGTCAAGTAGGATGTTGGTGGACTTGATGTCTCTGTGAATAATAGGTGAAAAGTGATCATGGTGAAGGTATGCCAAGCCTCGGGCAACTCCAAGTGCTATTTGGTGTCGAATCGGCCAATCCAGGAGCAGCCATCCTTTATGAAGAGAATCCCAAAGGTTTCCGTTCGGCATGTACTCGTACACCAACAGTTTACAGTCGAAGCTTGTGAAGTAGCTATATAGTTTGATTATGTTTTTATGCCTTATGCTTCCGAGAGTCTTGACCTCGGTCTTCAACCCTTTGTCTAAGATCATTTGATCTTTTGGATTGGAGTCTTTTCCTGTTCTTCTCCACAGCTTCTTCACTGCAACAACTTCTCCACTTTGCAATTCGATTCTATACACCGTGCCAGATCCTCCACACCCCACTATGTTTTTTTCAACCAGTGCTTCTAGGATCTCTTGGAAGTCAAAACATATTCTATGGAAGCTCTTCACATCATATGAAAAGAACGAGGAAGACAAGCTCTCATCGTGTTGTATTAGAGCACATTGTTTACTATAACAACGTCTCAGAAACAGGAGAGCTGCAACAGTAATGACAATTACTGAAACTATAATTGCCCACATAGAATTCAGCTTCTTTTGGTTGTGAGCGTGTGAACACTTGGGGAAGCTTTGAACATGGATTGGAGCACAAAGACCAGGATTGCCTGAAAAGCTTTCCACCAACCAACCTTTAATTAATGAGACTGGAATCGGTCCATAAAGATCATTGTTTGCAAAGTTGATGGTGTTCGACGACAGTTCACCGATACTCTCTGGGATGTTGCCTGTCAAGTTATTGTCGGAAAGATCAACGACACTGATTGATTTCAACAAAGAAATTGAGCTGGGGATTGAAGAGCTAAGATTGTTCCTTTGCAGCATTAGTGTATTCAGTTTCCTCAGATTACCAATCTCTGATGGTATTGATCCAGACAGGAGATTGTTACTGAGATCAATCTTCACCAGATTTATAGCTCCAGAGATTTCTAGAGGAATAAAACCAGAGAACTTGTTGTTCTGAATGTACAGTTCAGATAAGTTCCTAGCATTTCTAATTGAACTTGGCAAAGGACCCGTAAAATTATTGTCAGCCAAGTCGATAATTGAAACATGAGGGAGTCCTAGAAGATTTTCTGGTATCCAGCCCTCCAAATAGTTTTTACTAACTCGGAGCCGTATAAGAGACTTGCAGTTTACATAACTATCAGGCAACTCTCCAGAAAACTGGTTATCTAAGACGAGCAAATAAATTAATTTTCCCCCTCGACATACCTCTGTTGGCAATGTACCTGATAGATTGTTCTCTGATAAGTCCAAAAGAACCAGAGGTGACGATCGCCCCAGATTTTGTGGAACTTTTCCTATTAGGAAATTCTCATAGAGTGATAACATGGTCAAGGTTGTTGACTCTGCAATAGCACCTGGGATTTCTCCTGTAAGACTGTTGTTATAAAGTTGAAGGACTTGAAGTTTTGGAAGCCGACATAAAGGTTCCGGAATATTTCCACTCAATCGGTTGACCGACATGTCCAAGTCTACGAGCTCTGTCAGGTTTCCCAGTTCCTCAGGTATCGGACCAGATAAGTGCTGGTTGTAGTACAGCTCAAGCAGCTGCAAGTTTTTCAGCTTCCCAAGCTCCTTAGGAATCTGACCCCAAAGGAAATTGCCACTCAATTCAAGATCAACGAGTGAAGTCATGTTCCCTATTGATGGTGGGATCGGACCGTGCAACCTGCAAGTAGTGAAGATCATGACCGTTAGCTTTGTGAGCCTGGAAATGTTCCCCGGAAGTTGCCAGAAGTTCAAACCATTATTCTCATTGAAGTAGATCGCCTCGAGATCGGTGAGATTAGTTATTGACATGGGGAAGTCATCCGTAAAGAGGTTATACGACAAGTCGAGCACACGCAGAGAAGTCATCTTCGAGAAATCCGGAAGTGTTGCGCTAAGGTACACGGAACTCATATTGAACTCTTCCAAGAGAGAGCAGTTAACAATGCGGTTAAGAAAGTTACCATGGAGATTGTTGCCGCTGATATCCAGAACGCGCAACTCCGGCAGATACGAGCACACATCATCCAGAAAATTGCCCGACAAGGACCAGCCCGAGATGTTAATACTTTCAACATACCCGCGATTGTTACAGCCAACACCCTGGAAATCGCAATAACGTTTCCCTCCACTGACATTCCATTCAGACAAGGCCTTCCCCGATAGAGAGTCCTTCATGAGGTTGAAGAACTGCAGCTGATCATCTCTTATAGTTTGAAAAGAATCAGAAAACACAAAGCTAAGCAACAACACCAGAAGGAGATGAACAACTTTTGGTGCCATTTCATTAAAAAAAAGGAAAGAGGAGTACTTTGTTTGCAGAAGAGGAGGTGGAAAAAAGAGAGTATATAAATGAGGTGATTGAGGGGATCACTGGGTGCAGCAGTAAGTAATAACCCCTCGATGATGGAAAAGAAAGCAGGTTCCCCCCTGTGCATGTGATATTTTTGCATAAAGTAGCTTTTTTTTTAATTTATTTTCAAAGTTTTTATACCTCCACTAGCTCATATTATACATTAGAGGAATAACATCTCTTTACTCTTGATGTGATTAGTCCTGCTTTCTCTTGGATGGCCATGGCCCAAAGTTCCACAATCTGCAGATATATATGTCACCTATATTGCCACTTGCATGCGTCCATATACAATACTAATCAAGTCACGACCATGCATGTGTATAATGTTTGTGATGTATATTTTTGTAATCAAAATCCAACTGCTTTTCTGGCATTGCATGACAGATTCCATGATTCGTCCATTATTGCTATTCGTGGTTCAATAATATACAAACACAAAGTTCACTTTATGGGGTCCTACTCCTATGGTACTGTTAGCTATCGGCTTGAGTAAAGGAATTTGCTCTCACGTGTGAGATTCATATAATATATATTCTACTGTATAACATTGGTGGGGGAATTCGGCAATTCGCATTATACAGGTGTCGTAACCGTCTTTCGGTTGGACCCCGGAATTGGGCTTCGACTTGAAAAATGTGATTGGAGTCGCCACCGATTATTTATTTAAAAAATAAATAGGTTAATCGGATACCTTATATCTTACCTGATCTGCGTCTTACCAAAGATATGTCAGATTCGGGAGTCGATTACGGTCAAGGAAGGATTAGCACCCTTGAACCGCCATTTCGGTACTACGTAATTTGCCGGTTGTCTTAAATTAAGAAAATTGTAATTTAAAATTAAAAGGTAAAAATACGATCACAATTACTTACCTTAGATAGTTTTAAAGGTGTGGCCTTAAGAAGGTCAAAAAACCATGTTAGATAAAAAGGTAATAGATAAAAAGGTAAGAAATAAATAAATTAATTAAATTAAAATAAAGAGAAAACAAATTAAATAAAAGATGAGATAAATAAAACAAAGATAAAATAGTAAGTAAAATAAATATAAAAAATAAAGAAAAAGAAGAAAAAGAAGAAAAAAATATAGAAATAAAACAAATAAATAAAATAATAATAAAAAAGTAAAAATAATATATATATAAAATAAAAAAAATAAAAAAAGTAAATATATATATAAATTAATAAAACTGATAATAAAAAATAATATATTTATATATATAATCTAAAAATAAAATAAAAATATATACTAAAGTAAAAAAGAAAATACATAAAATGTAAAAAAATATTACATGAAAAAAAAGAAAAGAAAAATAACAAAACAATTAAATAAAATGAGTAACAAGGGAAATGTGCTTATAAATAAAGTTAAATAAATAAAATAATAATAATTAAAACGTAAATGTAAGAGACCAAATCAAAAGTAAAAAAGATACTACCTTTTATTTATTTTTCGAATCGTTTACAATAGCTTTGCCTTTGTATCTTCTCGTGCTTTCCTCTATGTTTTGTGTGTAAATCGTGTCTTACAATGGTGAGTTACAATGGCTATTTATAGTGCTTGTGGATCCTATCTTTAGGAGTTTAAATCATAAAATTCTATCTTATTTTTTGAATCCTAGCAAAATTCTATCATATCTTTAGGAGTTTGAATCCTAAAATTCTATCCTATTTTTAGGAGTTTGAATCCTAGTAGGACGAAAAAAGTGTGTTGACAGCTGCCCCTCTTTGCCCATAGTCGTGTAACGGGGATAGGGCAAAGATTGAAAGACACACTTTTCGTTCGGTGGAGTTGAAAATTGACTATGATGTTTCAATAACTCCCTGTCGAATTGAGTTACGGATGACTCATCCGTCGTGAAGTCGAGTTCATCTGGAAGCTTCTGAGCACTATATCCTTCGTCGTGAAGTTGGAATCGAACTCAAAGCTTTTGGCGAGTGGCCTTTGAATCATCTTCTGGATCAAGATACTTCGTCGTGAAGGTGAAACTTGACCTGAAGACTTCGGTGTTGATGCGTTACAGATGACTCATTCATCGTGAAGTTGGGTCAATCTGTTTGTGAAATTGGAATCGTACAGGGCCCCTTCGTCGTGAAGTTGAGCCTGAGAATTGGATATCCTTCGCCATGAAGTTGAAATCCAAATATTGTTCCGAGTCCAATATCCTCCGCTGTGAAGTTGAAATTGGTTCTGGAACTGGGAAATTGTTTGTTGACAGTCAGCCGCCCCTTCGCTGTGAAGTTGAGCTTGTGCTGTCTCGAGTCTAATATCCTTCGCTGTGAAGATGAAATTGACTCTGAACGAAATCTTGTTGACAATCAGTCGTCCCTTCGTTGTGAAGTTGAACTTGTGTTGTCTCGAGTCCAATATCCTTCGCTGCGAAGTTGAAATTGGCTCTGAAATTTGAAAAATGTTTGTTGACAACCAGCTGTCCCTTCGTTGTGAAGTTGAACTTGTGTTGTCTCGAGTGGCACGATATCCTCCGTCGTGGAGTTAAAATCGCGGATGAAACTGAAAAGTTGTTCGTTGACAACCAGCCGTCCCTTCGTTGTGAAGTTGAACTTGTGTTGTCTCGGGTAGCACGATATCCTCTGTCGTGGAGTTGAAATCGGCTCTGGAATTGGGAAATTGTTTGTTGACAACCAGTCGTCCCTTCGCTGTGAAGTTGAACTTGTGTTGTCTCGAGTCCAATATCCTTCGCTGTGAAGTTGAGATTGGCTCCGAAATTGCTTGTCGACAGTCAGCCGCCCCTTCGCTGTGAAGTTGAGCTTGTGCTGTCTTGGGTCCAATATCCTTCTCTGTGAAGTTGAAATTTGCCCTGAAACTAGGAAATTATTGTTGACAACCAGCCGTCCCTTCGTTGTGAAGTTGAACTTGTGTTGTCTGGAGTCCAATATCCTTCATTGTGAAGTTGAAATTGGCTCTGAAATTGAGAAGTTGTTGTTGACAGGCAGCGGTCCCTTCGTCGTGAAGTTGAATTTGCGTTGTCTGGAGTCCAATATCCTTCGTTGTGAAGTTGAAATTGGCTCTGAAATTGAGAAGTTTGGCTTCGAGCTAGATATCCTTCGTCGTGAAGTTGAAATCCACTCTCGAGCAAATCCTGTCGCTTTGAGTTCAATATCCTTCGCCGCGAAGTTGAAATTGACTCTACCTAAAACCTGAAAAAGTTATGCATATATGTGATGCTATGGATGCAATGCTCTTAGGTGTGCCTAAAATGCATATGCAACATATGTTATCTTAGGGCTCTAGAGAGAAATCTCGATCTCCAGTTGCCTGACTGGAATCTTGATTCTTGAATCTTCAAATTTTGATCCCTGATCTTGAATTCTTCAAATGTTCAAATCTGATGTGCACATTCTATTTTTGATTTGAGAAATGATTCTCGACCATCTCAAGTATGTGCCTGAGCTGAGTGTAATGGTTCAGATGATGCTTCAAAAGAAGTTGTCTTGAAAGAGATAGAACTCGTTTCAAGGGAAACGATCTCAAAGATATTTTTTGTTTCAAGGGAAACGGTCTTAAGGGAGACAAAATTTTGTTTTAAGAAAAACTGTCTCAAGAGAGACAAAACTTAGTTCCAAAAGAAATTGTCTTACGGGGAGATGAAAATAGTTCCAAGGAAAACATATTCAAAGATGATGCTTCAAGAGAAAACTGTCTCAAGGGAGACAAAATTTTGTTTCAAGAGAAACTGTTTCAAGAGAGACGAAATTCATTTCAAGGGAAATGTTTTCAATGTTTATGTTTCAAGAGAAACTATCTCAAGAGAGACGAAATTCATTTCAAGGGAAATGTTTTCAATGTTTATGTTTCAAGAGAAACTGTCTCAAGGGAGACAAAATTTTGTTTCGAGGGAAACTATCTCAAGAGAGACAAAATTCATTTCAAGGGAAATTTTTTCAATGTTTATGTTTCAAGAGAAACTGTCTCAAGGGAGACAAAATTTTGTTTCAAGGGAAACTATCTCAAGAGAGACAAAATTCATTTCAAGGGAAATGTTTCCAATGTTTATGTTTCAAGAGAAACTGTCTCAATGGAGACGAAATTTTGTTTCATGGGAAACTATCTCAAGAGAGACAAAACTCATTTCAAGGGAAATGTTTTCAATGTTTATGTTTCAAGAGAAACTGTCTCAAGGGAGAAAAAATTTTGTTTAAAGGGAAACTGTCTCAAGAGAGACAAAGTTTGTTTCAAGGGAAACTGTCTCAAGAGAGACAATAGTGAGCACGATTCCCTTCGTCGTGAAGTTGAAATCGTGGGTGGCCCCTTCGTCATGAAGTTGAGCCAGGAATTGGATATCCTTCGTCGTGAAGTTGAAATCCAACTTGAAAATGCGAACTGGATCGATTCTGAATTATCTCTTGAACTCGTCTGAAGTTGATTCTAAGATCTGTCGATCTTTCAATATGTCAAATTGGTTGAAGTGTAGCTTCTTGCTGCTGAGTTAAGCAACCAACATCAATCTTTAAAGGTGCTTTTGAATCGAGTATCCTTCATTTTGAAGTCGAAACTTGACTCTAAAAGCTGCAAAAATTATGTATGTGGGAAAAAAATGATGCTCTAAAATGTATGCATAAGATGCATATAACATGAATTGGTTATATTTTATCTCTTGAAAAGGCCTGATAATTTGCATTAGGATGTTGAATCCCCAAAGATGCCCAAAAAATGCCCCAATATTTCATGTTGAATCTTCAAAGATGCCCCAAATGTTCCTCATTTCTTGCTTCAGCATTGATTCTGAGCATGAGTTTTGTGTCTAAGAGTCACATGTCATTTACCAAGATTCACTCTAGAGAGACTGTCTTGTTTGAAAAAAATGTTCTTCTTTCTCTTTTAATATCAATTAAAAGAGTTTCAAAAAATGTTTAATCCCAAGTTTTAAAAATATTGCCCCTTTCACGGTTTTACAATTGAGACGAATCATAAAACTAGAGTTCATTGGATATCAAAGAATTAATTAAAATGTTAATCCTTCAATAAATTATAGCTATTTGACAAGTGTCAAGATCAAAGCTATCTTTGAGAGATGGTCAAGTAAAGAAAGGATAAAAAGTTTCAGGTCATTGTGTTTGGTCAAAGGTTTGGCATTTGATGCTCAAAGGTTTGGTATTT